TGAAGCAAACGAGACTAACCTGAAAGCACAGCTTGTAAGCAGTCCGTAATGACTGTAACAGACATGATAGGAACCATATCTGCGACACGATTCACAACTTCTTTCTCACTGCTGAATGCATATCCCAAAACGTGGCGGCAAAAGAAGAGAGTTGTGCTTACAATAACTGCCTCCACCACTGCAATAACTGTTACTACCAACACACTCAATTTGGCTGCTTCTGGGTTACCTGCTCCTAACTCATTTGCAACTCGCGTGCTACAAAATGAATGAGAATGGCTCTTTTCATTGCAAAGCATCTATGTATGAACTTTAATTATCCAGGCACTGTGCTTTGGAAAAAAAACATGTTCAAATTGATGGAAACAAACCTTCCGATCGCTCCAATTCCATAAGGAATGAAATAGTGCAAATAAGTAAATGAAAAGCTGCTCAAAAGTCAAATTGACAGCAAGGAATTAGAAACAGTCTATGAAATCAACTCCCATATTATAATCCTTGGAAAGAAGTAATTGAAAGAAGAATACCATATGGAAAGCACAGAAGCCTCCAGTTTTGGATTTGGTAATAGTCCAGACAGAAATATTAGAACCTCAGACGCCCACCATTCAAGACTGCAATGATTGACAAACCAAAGGTAGATAAGGGACCAAATTGAATTCAAGAAAAGCCTGTGAGGAAACAAAAAATGCAAGAAAAACTGACCAAACCATTGCAGCTGAAGGAACAGCAAAGCGGTAAAAGACCCTGGTGCTCTTGATAACATCTTTGATCGACACTGCAGCACGAGTTTTATCACATTTTGATGAATATTTCATGTAAAACCCAAGCAATATGACATTCAACCAAGTAGATAAAGCGATTGATATTGCTGCTCCAATGGTACCCAATCCCAACTTAAACACTAGTGTCCAACAGAAGGGTACGTGAAAACACAAAGCTGCAAGTGAAGTAAACAGCATTGGAAGAATCAAACTTTGGGTCTGAAAATATCGAACCATTGCTTGAAGTATAGCGTATCCGAATAAGGCAGGGATGAGGAAAACTGCGTATCTGTGGGCTACATGTGAGATTGAATGGTCTTGGCCAACAAGGATGAGTATCTTATCAGTGAAAACGCAAAGCACAGATATGGGAAAACAGACAAGAACAAGATTGATGATGGCGCAGTAAGTATAAGTTCCAAGGCTCTGATATTGCTCTGCTCCATAAGCTTGTCCGCATAGAGTTTCCAAGGCACCAGACATCCCAAACTGCTTGACAAAACCAAAAAAAGCCAATCAACAAGCCTTCAACAGTGTTATCTGAAACTAAAATTTTTCCAGTCAAGGAAGCTGATCATAACTTCACCAGAAAACAGAAGCCGGTGACAATAGTGAAAGAAGTGGCTATGGAGACTCCGGACAGTGAAAGTTCATCGAGATGTCCAACCATCATAATTGACACAACTTGCACAAGATGCTGCAACACCGTGACTGCAACCATAGGAGCTGCTATGCACCCTATTTTCTTCAGCTCCTTCAAAGAAACAATCCATTTCCTATCCATTTCCTTTCTTCTGAACCTACGCTTTTCCTCCTCTACTCCTCCAGTAACCTCCACTATTAACGTAGTAAGAGGCACAAAAGGAAAGATTCCTTAACAAGAGGAGCTGCTTTTTTATTTTTTATTATTATGTTTACAGGGTGTTACTGCTTTACCTTTGAATTCAACTAAATATATAACTATGCAATTTATATTTCTGGCTTTTTATCACTTCCCTTATTATTGGTTTGCGTTAAAGCTTGTGGGCTCTCAGGGGCCTCATAACCCACCATTGTCATTGGTTAAGATTCAAAAAGACATGAGACAATGACATCCGCAATTCACACCCAATGATAATGGTCTCTGTAATTCCCCTGCCTGCAACGCTCTGTTTATATCTAATAAGATGTTTGGCTTCATCCTGTTTACTTAGAAGCAAAATATTTGCTTAATAAAATTCTGATAATAAGATTTATTTATTTAAATTTTGTTTCCTCAATCTTCTTTTTTGAAAAGATACGTTTTCTCAGTCTTTCTTAGGGTTTCAAAAGAATAAGAAAATAATCTAAAAATTACTCTTAAAGTTACAGAATTTTAGGAAACTTAAGAAAAAGAAAATGGAGTGAGAGAGATAGAAAAACAAAAAAGAGATCTGGTTCATAGAGATGGAAAAGTAAAAATATTTTATTTTTGTTATGAAAAAATAACTTTATAAGAACAAATAAAAATAACTTGAAATAATACTTAAAGAGAAGAAAGAGAGTATTTAGGGGAGAGAAGAAATCTTATTGAAGTGTGTATACAAATAAATTAATATAGGTAAATAACCCCTTTACAAGATGAAGATAGCACTTAGAAATTAGATAGATTATATTCTAATATAATCTGATTTACTTCAAATCTAGATATAGATAACATAAATGGATATTCACAAAATATTCATAACACTCCCCCTTGAATATTCATTATATTAAGAATATGCCTTATTGAATGATTGAAAAATGATGTACGAAGATGGGAGGTGAGGCACACTTTTAGAGAGAATAATAAGCTGGCCGATCGACTTGCAAAAGCTGGGGTTCAACGCATAGAGGACTTGGTGTTTGTGCTGGAATAGGCCTCAACTTTTGGTGCCATTGTTAAAGTAAGAAAGGAACCTAGGTAATGTGAAAAATTCTCTTTACTTTTGGAGTCGAGACTTTTCTGAGAATCGGGTGCTGTGGGTAAGTGTGGCGACTGAGGAAGTTGCTGTGATGGTTGGTGTTGTATGGATGAAGGTGAACAGTATCCACACTGGTCATGCTTTTGTTTACTTCTGGGAAAGGTGGAATTTTTTTGTCGAATGTACAGTTACGGCGGAGATGACCCTATGATGTATCCTCACTTCAGAGCATAACAAACCATGATCAACTTGCTTTGCTCCTAGAGAGGGTATTCAATAAAATTTCAAAAAAAAGTTGTTGAAAAGTTGGTTAAAGAAGGGGTTAATAGGCAGTAGGATCTCTTGCGGATATATGAACTGGCGAGGAAAACTCTTGCCAGTGAGTATTGAATGTCTTGTGATCTGTGACCGGGTGGCTGATGTTCTACTCTTGAATTGATGATCTTTGTGCTACTTGATTGTCTATTAAAGCTTTTGTGGGTCTCTAAGGGTAGGAAGGGTTGGGTTCTATTTTGTTCTGCTGCCATGATTTGATGTGTTTTGTATAGGCAGGATTGTGTATGTATTAGTCATGGGAGGTGTATAGTTGTCTGATTTTTGTATAACAGGTTTTTGTGGGTAGCTATGAGTATGATTTGGTGAATATACATGTTTTTTGTGCCCAAGTATAGCCCACAAATCACTAGTTCTTTACTGATGTTTTTTTAAGGGGATTTTTCCATCCTCTTTTGCAATGAAACTCCAATATTTCAAAAAAAAAAAAACCTTACAAGGAAAAAACTTCATGGGAAAAAAATTTAAGTGAAGGAAAAAGAGTACATAATTTTTTCAAGAATACACTTATGAAATATTGCCTCATTAAAAACTTTATCAAGAAAAACCCAATGGGCAAAAACTTGATGAAGGAAAAAAGAGTACAGTGCGTATTTTACTCCCCCTAACAATTGTATTATTTAAGATCTTTAAAATGACGCATCTTGATCTTTTGTACCAACTTTTCGAATGTTGCAGTAGGAAGGGCTTTAGTAAACAAATTTGCTAGATTGTCACTTGAATGAATTTGTTGAATACTAATATCACCCTTTTCTTGGAGATCATGAGTGAAAAAGAATTTTGACGAA